ACTTGTTGAGATTTGATAAAGGACGATGGTGGCAAATTTACAGCTTCTGTTGTCACRATCTGTGATGATGCACAGAATCACACCAAGTGTGAACAGTGTCACAGAGGGCAAACACAAACTGCAACATTGTAAAATCACACACCATTGATGTATTTAAAATAATACATAGACACACTTCATAATGTTGTAGATCATTAGGGAATACATTAAGCAAGTACTTTTACTTTTAATACTTAAGTAATTTTAAAAGCAAGTACTTACTTACATTTACTCAAGTAAAAATGTTGATGTGGTACTTTTACTTTTACTAGAGTACATTTTTGTCTGTTTAATTGTGCTTTTACTGAAGTACAGTGTTTGAGCACTTTCTCCACCACTGAAAATAACCAACTTTCAAAAATAGAACTTCACTAAGAACCATTTTTTTAGAAAACGAGAAAGAGTTAATTAATTTAGTTCATGACTGTGTCTATCATCATGTTTGATTTGATTCGATTTATTTTGGTCACTACTTATACACTACTTGGATTTCCTGAATGCTAACGTTTTGTACAAAATGTTTTGCTCTGAAATGCAAATCAAACACAAWTCAGCTGATAATCTCTGCCTCTGGCTAAAATAACCTGGTGATTGCTGTTCTGGATTCTGATGATATCTTTTTCCATTCTAACATTTAGTTTATTTTGTGATATAAGGGCATGACTCAAGGGATTCTGACAGTTCAGCTCCTGCTGCATTTTTACAAATCCCAACAGTTCCTGCTGTTTTTATCTCCATTTTGTATTGTGTAAAGAATATAAAGGATWTTTTTTCCAAAAGGAAATGTCTTAAAAAATGAAGCAAGAGAGAGGTGCTCTCGCTATTGAAATGCAAAGATGACATTTCAAAGAATATTGGCAAGAGGAGCTTTCTTTATGGAGAAGGGGAAAACATGTTTCAGTGTGTAATGTTTTCTCTAGGGGGTGTAAAGCTTTGGAAATACTTTTTTTGTCTGACGGTTAAACAAATACTATTCTAACCTTCAATTTTAAACACTCGTCAGAAATCCCCCATGTTACTCTAAAAACAGTCCTCTGAACAAAAGATGTCCTAAACACACAGTCTGTTATTCTGTATTTTATTAAATAAATAGAATTTCAACAAGCAGGTCATTTATAACATTGCTGTTCAAACATTCAGCACTGGCCTAATATTCATGCTAAATAAAATAAATGTGCTCAGTTTAGTATGAAACCTTTACAAGATTTCCAAAGYTTGTACAAGCGCCGTACATCATATTAATAGCTCTGTAGCCCATTAATTACAAGCAGCTAATGAGATTAAAATTGTTCAGCTTTTAATGAAGAAATARTGTGATGAGGATCAAAGCCGGGCCGACAACAGTGATATGTCAGCAGTGAGTATCTCTGCTGCTAAAAGCTACAGTTCATTTCAAAATTATTCCCACCCAAGCAATGTTTTGATCCAAGAGGATTAAAACATGAAATCACATCRAAATGTTTCTTCTAGTTTTTTATTTATTTTTTGGCCATATGCAACATGTATCAGTTTTTTTTTATGACAGTCTAAAATGACAAAACATTTTCATATTTGACTCAGGTCATTTTCATGTATTGACATGGATTATAATGCTTTTTAAACTGACTGCATGTATTTCATCCAAGCTTTACCTCATTAAAGTATAAGTTTGTGGATTAATCATATGGTATTAGAGTCTATGTAATTTGATTTGGATATATTTTTTCTGGTATATAGTCCTGACTTTAGCCTTCAAATGTTCTTGTTTCTTGTGAATTGGTAATTTGAACCACAATTTTGCCATTTATAACATTTTACTACATTTTTTAAAAGTCGTGAACGAATTTTCCCATACACTACCTTGCAAATAAATAAGGTTTCATTGATAACTTACACCTAAACTTAAAAAAAGGTCTAAGTCTAGTCTAAAGTTTAGGCTGAAAGGTTTACAAATTTGCGAATATGTCTTCTTCATAAACACCACCTGTGATGTTGGATCACTTAAATGTTTTCATTCTTTCACATCTTTTTGGTAGCAATATTTTATGAACATTTACATTTTTTTTGTCTGATTAAAAATAAATTATAAACAAGGTATGTGTGGAGTGGAGAGATGGATATCTACCACATGGGGGCGCTGTAGCCTAGAAAATAAAAGCTGTTGTCTTGCTGAGAATGACTCACGCATGCACACAGGTATAGCTATCTTTCTGGGGACATTGTAATGACTTCCATTCATTTCTACAGCCTAACCCTGACCTCTTACCCTAAACTTTACCTCACAGGTACATACCTGACCCTAAATCTAACTTAAAATCAATTCACACCTTAGTCCTACACCTAACCCCCGACCTCCCAATGATATTTCCCCTTATGTGGCCTTGGCTTAGAACCCCTTAAGTAGTTGGTCCCCACATAGTAGGGAATACCCGCATGCACCACAAACGCAGAGCTTCAGATTACCATAAAGGCTTTGTGATCCCTTCATTTTTACATTAAAAAAACAATGAAGAAGTCAATGATTGATAGAGGTGAGGAGTGAAATAAATAATAAAACATGATAAGAGAGAGAGAAGCAGAGAAAACAAGAGCAAGTTTAAAACAGCTTTTCTTTTGAAGTTGTGTTTGAATGATCAGTCTGCACGCTCTTGTTTTGAAGGAGCAGCTCAGATTTATGACAGGTGATGCCCCGATAGAG